AGATTTCTTGATGAATGATCCACTCTTCCCTCTTGTCCCATATGTTCTCTTTGTTTTCCGGATGGAAGCCTTGGCTTCGCTTCAGCCCTCACTCATTGCCGCAGACTTTCAAACTGATGATTGTGAGTTTCTCCTGGAAAGATAAACAAGAAATGCAATTTCTAAATGCATAACTTTCATCATGCCCATATTCAAAATAAGCAATGATTATCATCTGCGTCGCCTCCCTTCCTCTAAAACTGTTAAATTAGAAAAAGTGCAACCTAAAAATGTAGGGTTTTGGATTAGTTTTTCCCTTAATGTCATTCTCAGAAGAAATGGAATTGCTTTCTGTAAAATATATATCTAGATTGTGAAATGTGATGGGTCCATGCTGTTTATGTAAATATAGACGATTTTTCTCTTCTTATTGTTCCTGGACAGGCAATATTTAAAATTTATATTACAGTACTAAAAGCAGATGGGAGCTGAAATGATCCCTGTGTGTGCCTGCATGCATCCAGGGTTTGGCGGAGATGGTTATTGGGAAACCAAGCCAGACAGGTGGAGACAGGATCAGCACCTTGAATTTGGGATGGCTTTGTGTTGACTGTGTATAGTACCTAGTGATCTTACCACACAAAGAGAGAGAGAGAGAGAGAGAGAGAGAGAGAGAGAGAGAGAGAGAGAGAGATTTTCATTCCTAAAGTAAAACCATTAAAAGAATAATTTATCTTGCTGATGGTAGACATGCATATACACAACAAATAAAAGAAAACCTGCTACGATTTGTTTTCTAGTTAAATTTAAATCAAGCAGAGGCATAGCAATAGGGCAGGCAATTGCCTGGGGCCCCGCATTTTGAGGGGCCCCTAAGGTCTTACCATTTAAACAATCAGAAATGTTAATATTAATGGAGAGTCTATTTACACTACATGCAACTAGTCCACCTTGTTGGCAGAAGCTATTTAGACTAACTCCGCCCACCAAGGTCTGGTTGGGATAGGCAAAATTACAAAAGACACACAATAACATTATGGGTCTCAGGGAATAAACTGAACTAGACTAAAAGGAACTATGCTGAATGAATTCTCATTTAGCTGCAGAAATATAGAACTTCTCAAAGAGACACTGTAACTGGACTGCATCTGTTAAATAATTGAGGTGTTAAATTACACACATCAAATTCAGTTTAGCCTTTGTTGATGAAACTTTTAATTAAACCAGTTTTATATATTAAATAAAAAAACAAAAAAAAACAAAAAAAAAACTAATTCAGTACGGTGAAAATAATGACTGTTTCCAAAAAGAGACACTTAAAACATCAGTATAAATTACAAAAATACTTTTTTAGCATCATTTCCAAGGATTTCAGAAAAACAGATTACTTTATATCATCAAAATATTAAAGAAAAAGGCAATACTCAAAGAAATTAACTTCTTACTGACATACATATCTAACATTAAAAAAAAAATCAATTTAAAATGTGTGGTCATTCAGAGTTTGTTATGTAAAACAAACAGTTCTACTTTTGCACAACTGCACAACGTTTGCAGTGGTAAAGCAGTTATAACATACATGTCCATGAGAAGAGATATGCGCAGGTTCAGAGGTAGAATTGCAATCAATACGATTTTTAACGAGCTCCTTTTCTTATACACCGGCCCTGTAATGACAGAGATCCAGAATAGTATTTCATATGCCTTAGTTCATTCAGATTTGATGGCAGATCACCATGGCGTACATGGATTTGGACAATCTCTGATATAGGACTCCAGAGTTCCAGTAGACACTTCCATCAGTGAGGTGTAGGTTGTCAACTGTAAAGACAAGACAGAAAATGGCTTCATTATCACTTCATATGACATTTGACTAGATGCAGAAATGTGATCAAACACTATTTCTCTCTCGGTCTCAAAAATAGCTAAAGAAAGAAACAAAAAAAAATGATAAAATAAAGTGAAATATAAGTGTGATATAAAGGAAGACTTACCTTATTAAGAACTGGTTTTGTTGACAGAACATCATATACTGATGCCAGAGAAATGTTCTGTGAAAAATACTATTTTGTTATCTACTATAAAACATGTCTTCATGAACAATTAGTTACTAATTATGCTTATTATTTTAAAAGCACTTCAAAACTACTCTAAATTACTACTACAAAGCCGTTTTATTCCTAACACATAATGCCACATACCGCTTGCGTGGTTTGATTCATGCACTTCATTGCCGGAGTTCTACGGTCATCAAATATCATAGGCTTTTCCCAGTGATCATAGTTTGTTTCCAGGACGTACCATCTTCCAAGCTTCATATCAAGTCTTTAACATCATCAACAATCAGCAAATTTTAGGGCATTTTAAAACATTGCAGACAGAAATTTAATAGTTCTGTGTGATATGATTTACTCACTCCCAGATGTCTAATGTGTTTATTCTCGTCCTGGTTATCACACAACCCTGGCCCGTTCGGTTACCACCCAAGATGAAGTAAGCAGGAGCAAGCAGTTTCGCCTGAGAGAGCTGGTCTTTGGCATCCTCATAACTGCAAGTTAAAAGAAAAAAATTAAGTTGTTTTTATTTTGATATAGGAATATTTGTATATATTTTTAAATACTAAAAATGCATTTTCAGAGTGTGAAGGTTACTACTTGATCTGATGAAGCTATTTTGAATTAAATTATTCCAAAAAAAGTGTGTGAATGAGAACTATTTGGTCATGACAGCGAAAACAAGGAATATGTACTTTCATGTTATGTTAGTTTGTTGTCGTTTTTACCTGGTAGCATTTTCCAGAACTTTGCGAGTAAGAAAACCCATCCACATTCCATCTCTCCTGCCAAGAATCCATTCCAGAATCCCTGTGAGAAATGATGATGTTATCTAACTAGTCAACCATCAAGAACATCTAGTTTAGTTTAGAAGAAATATATACATAGTGTTAGTTCTTTACAAAATGTTAAGCATTCTAACAACTGTTTATATACCTGTCACTTACACTTCATTTGTCATAATCATTTAAAAAAAAAAACAATACTTTACCTACATAACCCCCATCAACGTTGAAACGCTCATTCATTGTTAGACTGAATTCACCCTAAAAAAGTAGAACAATTTGTACTTGTTTTAAATTTCCACAAAAAGAATCATCTTTTTTTTTTTTTTATTTACTTACTTACAGGTCTAATTCCAGTAAGCATGCCAACATATCCAGCTAAGTTTGTTGATTTAAAGACAGTTTTGTTCCCTCTTTGGAAATTGACATTCACCACAAGAGGCTTAAGCTTCTCTGTTAAAGTCCATGTTTTATTCTGTCGATCCCACCTTTATGAAAAACACATCATTCTTATGACATGATATAAAGTGAGCATGTATGCTGAAGTCAATTCTATGTGTTCCTAAATATTTGTCCAAAAAAAACAAAAAACAAAAAATAACAATTCCTACCCCATAAACAGTCCAAAATCCAAATTCTGGGCATGGTAAATATTTCCTAGAAAGGAAAAAAAAAAAAAAAAAAGAAAGGAAAATGGTTATTAAAATTAAATTTGATTTAAAACATTATGCAAACTTATTTATATATTCTCACCATTAAAGTCTTCTGCAACAACTGATGTGCAAACAGTGAAAACCTCATAAAAGATATTGAACAGCATAATTTCACCTAGAGGGACATATAAAATAAATTAAAAACATATAAATTTGATAAGATTAAAGTTATACCTTTTTAAATAAATGGGCATAATAAGGCATAATTAAGGAGTAACTTTGTATTGATGGATAGCACCTTTTTGTGTGTGTTATTGAATTGTTTGAGCTTTAACTTTACTAGATTGCTTACATTTTCCACAATTATTATTTAACAAATAAAATGAAAATAATCAAAAGGGAAAAATCTGACCCAGAGGAATGCCAGAGACTGCTGCTATTCCCTTAATTGAAAGGTTGTGGAAGTGCACCCACAATCAAAGGCTATAAAACAGTGAGAAAATAAATCATAGCAAAATAAGAACACATCAAAATATATAATATCAAAATGCATTTTTAAGATGTCCAAGTTTGTTCATACATTTAATTGCTTACCAGCTCCTCGTCCACTAAATCAACAAGTTTTCCATGGAAAAAGCCTTTGGCCAGGTCTTTTATTGTTCATACCATTGTGATCAACTGTAAATCAACATGATTAATGTAAAAACAATCACAGCGTTCTTGTTTAACATAAAGAGACAGACACATTATTAAAGGGGTCATATGATGCTGCTAAAAATAACATTATTTTGTGTATTTGGTGTAATGAAATGTGTTTATGCAGTTTAAGGTTCAAAAAACACATTATTTTCCACATACTGTACATTATTGTTTCTCCTCTATGCCCCGCCTTTCTGAAACGTGTAAAGGAAAAATTGAAATCGCATCATATGACCCCTTTAAAGCATCCTCCAGACACACAGTGGGTATAGAAAAGAATCACCCCTTAAAAATAATCAATTTTTTTTGCTTCGCAGCCTGAAATGAAGACAGACAGTTTTTGTTTTATCCAGTTAAATGTACTCAGTGCAACTTAAAACATCCAAGTGAAAGTGTCCGAAAACTTTGTCCGTCTTCATTTCAGGCTGCAATGCAACAAAACATGATTATTTTAAAGGGTGGTGATTCTTTTCTATACCCACTGTAACAGCAGAGAATCAGTATTCAACACACTAATGTCGACACATGCAAATACATAATAGAGCACAAGGTCCAAGACCTAACAGGCAATAAGAAGACAGTTACCTCTGTGTTTTTATCTTTGATCACCTGCGTCCATCTCTCACTAGGAGCTAAATCGAGATTAACAGTGTACCAGGTCACATTACCTTTAACCCTAGATAAACCACAAAAGACGATGAACACGTTATAAAAATCAACATATTAGCTCCACATAGTCCAGAGCACGTGAAATGTAGAAGCACATCTAATTGGATATTTGAAGAGAGAAACAGCAGTACGTTGGTATTTTAGGTGGATACATTCCACTTCCGCAATCCTCCAGCTGCAAATAAAGGCAGTATTGAGTAAAGCATGACAGCGGTACAAAGTGAAACAGCTCTCAAAACAGCGTTATAAACTTCAAAATTAAGCATAGATCACTCTGGTGCAGAAACCGCATTTATTCTTACCCCTCGAACAAAATGTGAGAAAAGAAATAAAGATATAATGAAAATGTCATGAACTGATGTTGGCTTCATTGTCTTTCCGCGCAGTTTTCTAAACGTTCAGTCATTCCCTGCGGAAGGGGGTGCGGGGAAATAAGCTTCGCGACGGAACGTACCATAATGTAAGGGGTGAACAGATACAGTAGGTGTGTGTATAATTTTTAAAGAAAGATTAAATACGTTTTATTTTCTTCTAAATATTAATTAACTTTAAAATTGCATGGATGAACTATTATTTAATTGGTTTCGTTTGGTTGTGTTTGTTTATGTGTACACCCACAGCACGACCCCCCCCCCCGTCAGTCTGCTGCTTGAGCTTCTCTCGGCACGTGAACAAGGAAGTTCAAGTTCATTTGTTCAATGTTTTGATTAGTCTGCTATGAATCAAGCGTGATCTCACGTTTACCAGCCACCACCACTAGTGAAAGAAGAATCGTCACGAGAATTTTCTGCTGTTGGAAACATGGAGAAAAACATTTTTTTGGTACATTTTAATTATCACATTAAAAAAATCATAATTATGACATAAAAAGTCGAATAAAATAATGATATCATAATTTCTACTTTTTATGTAACTTTCGACCTATCTCAAAATTAGGCTGGTGTCATAATTAGAACATCATAATTTCGACTTTTCTATCTAATAATTTAAACTTTATCTTAAATAAGACTTTGCATGATGTTTTTCCCCCTTATGTGGCAGAAATGGGTTTCCATACACCTGGTTACATATAGATCAAAATAATTAAAGTCTTCCCCCTTTCACAGCTGTGATTTTTTTAGGTTACTCAGAACAGATATTGAAAGGAAAACAGAAACAGAAAACAGGACAGAAATAAAGTTTTAAGAATTATTATTATTTTTTTAGAAAGAGAACGTTTAAAAATGAAGAAACAGTTCTCATTTTTCATGTTAGAAGTTAGAGTAATACATATGGTTAAAATGATACTTTATCCAATGTTTTAAGCCATGTATAAAGGAAATGTACAGTGGGTATAGAAAATAATCTATATCCCCCCTTTACAATAATCACATTTTTTTTTGCTTTGCAGCCTGAAATGACAGTTTTTGTTTTATCCAGCTCTATTTACTATAACATCCAATGCAACTTATAACATCCAAGTGAAAGATATAACACCAAAATGTAAGAAAAAAAAAACAGAATCACGGAGTTGGAAAAAGGATCACCCCCTTGTGTCTGTATTTTGTTGAACCACATTTTGCTTTAATTACAGCCTTTAGTCTGTTCGGATATGTCTCTACTAACTTTGCATCTAGACTTTGCACGATTTGCCCACTTTTCTTTTCAGTGGGGTTCAAGTCTGGGCTCTGACTAGGCCATGCAAGGACAATCATCTTTTTTTCTCCTTCAACCAGCGTGTGCTCAGTTTTGCTGTGTGTTTTGGGTCATTGTCATGTTGGAAGGTAAACCTTCTTCCTATTGACAACTTTCTGGCAGAGGGCAGCAGATTTTCCCCAAGAATTTAACAGTATTTTGCCCCATCCAATTTTCCTTCTATCCTGACAAGAGCTCCAGTCCCTGCTGCAGAGAAACACCCCCAGAACAGGAGATCACCACCTCCATGCTTTACTGTAGGAATGCTGTTATTTGGATGGTGAGCTGTATTGGATTTCCATCAGACATATCGTCTCGTCTTGAGGCCAATAATTCAATTTTAGTCTCATCTGCCTCAGAATCTTCAAGGTTTGTTTTGGCAAAGCTCAGACGTGCCTGCATGTGGCCTTTCTTGAGGAGTGGATTTTTTCTTGCAACCCTTCCATACAAGCCACATTTGTGGAGAATTTGTGATATTGTTGTCACATGCACACAATTATCACTCTGCTGTAGGCCTCTTGGTCGCCTCTCTGACCAGTTTCCTCCCGGCTCTTTCATCCAGTTTGGAGTGACGTCCTGATCCAGGAAGGGTCTGTGTTGTACCAAATACCTTCCACTTCTTAATAACAGACTTCACTTTGCTTCTAGGCATTGATGAAGCCTTTGAATTATTTTTTTTTGTATCGATCTCCTGACTTGTGCCTGTTCACAACTTTGTCCCTCAGCTCTTCTGACAGTTGGGTTCACTTGTTGCTTATCTTTTAAATGATTTGGGGAGACAGGTGACAATAAAAGAAAGAAAGAAAGAAAGAAGAAGAGGAGGAGAAATAGGAGGGCGCTAAACAAACTAGGATAATTCACTTCAGATGAAATGATTCAGTATATCCAGCAGGAGGCAGTATAATCCTGCTTACAGTAGATCACCAAAAAACATTGTTCAAATAACATCTTCATGAAAATATTCTTTAAGCAGACAGAATGATTTACTAAATTTAGCAACTGATAAACTCACTTCATCAGCAATATGAGGATTTAATATAAGAACAATCAAATGATTTGCTGTTTATTTTCAAAGCCTATTTTATTTTATTTGTTAAAGAAAACGTTAAACTAGCCTATAATGAAAAAGGAAGAATACAAATCATTTCAAATTTGAAAACCATGTATTATTTATAAAGCAAGTATTTTCAGCTGGATAAGAATAAAAGTAACCTAAACATGGGACTTCTGGATTGCCATCTCGTCTTTATCCACCACAAAAACATTTCCATACCTCTTTAATTGATTTGCACTGACCCACCTCTTCTCCCATCTCAGGCAATGATGAGGTTCTTACCACTGGCTGCCTTCAACACAGTGCTGCTTTCTGTGCATTTCTCAAGCCATGAAAAAGTGTTTTCTCAAAGTGACAGATCAGCATGTTCAGCGAAACTAATCCAATCTCACCAAACTGACCATGCTAACACCAGCCTCAGTTTCCATTACAGAGAAAGAGCATTACTAGATACTAGATACAAAGTCTCGACTTTGGCTAAAGCGGATTGGTTAACAGCCCTTCAGAGTATGCTGGCAGGAGACAGGGAACATAAACTCTGCTGAAATGTGGTGTTTTTTGTGCCACAGAGGAATCAGACTATGAATTGCTTACCTAAAGTCAAGTCAAGTCAAGTCACCTTTATTTATATAGCGCTTTTAACAATACAGATTGTGTCAAAGCAACTGAACAGCATTAATTAGGAAAATAGTGTGTCAATAATTACAGCCTTGGTCTGACGCAAGAAGCAAGTCATTTGTAATTTTAAGGTGTAAAGTTGTATTAAACTGAAAAAAGAGGAAGCAATAATAATAAAAAAAGTAAATTTTCTTATCTGACTGGTGAATGATGATAAATTGAGTGATCGTTTCTCAGACCAAACCATTTAGTACCAGGCAACATAGTTTATTGTGCTGAAAGTACTGTGCATGCTGGATACCCCTAATTAAAATATTTTTGTGTTTGATTTTGTTTTCCTTTGAATTTAGCAATAACCCATTTAGAACCATTAGCATGTTTTTCAATCTATAAAAATGCAGAATATGAGCAGCCTGTATCTGTATGCATCACAAAGTCTGACCATTTCCGTTATTGGTTATATAAACATTCAGGTTCCTGTAGAAACAGCTTTAAAATACAAGTACAGCCCCCTGCAGAGCGGTGAATGAAGCACAGAGTGCAGTTTGAGTTATGAGCCTTTCACAAACAGGAGATCAGAATCAGAATCAGAATCAGAATTAGCTTTATTCGCCAGGTGTGCAAACACACGAGGAATTTGTTTTGGTTTTTTAAGGTGCTCATGGTACATACATACACATCTGTTTCTGCCTGTAGGCTGGTAGAAGATGAACCAAACGGTGATCAGAGAGTCCCAGCGCAGCTTGGTGGACAGAGTGGTATGCATCCTTTAAAACAGTGTAGCAGTGGTCCAGTATATTGCTGTCTCTGGTGGGGCATGTGATGTGTTGTCTGGAAAAAATTGCTTAAGACGGGACAAACAAACAAAAAAAGTACAACAAGATAAAAGCAGACTGGCTGCTCAGCCAGCTGAGAATCCTCAATTAATTAAACACTTCCCAGTGATTATGCCCCCTGATAGAACTTATCTCCAGAGTCAGGGCTGCACCCACCTAATGGGCTGTTACATCAAAACACAAACACAATGTGATGCATTTCACTTCATATACGTTGGGGTTATATACTGTAAAAAATGGCATATTAATGAATGAATTTAACTGCAAATTTCAGTTTGACCCAAAGGAGAGTTGATTTCTCTGCCTCTCAGGAACGCAAATAAGCTAAAATGAAGATGAATGAAAAAAGAAATTGTAGTTTCTAACCTTTTGATAAATATTTGATTTTTCACGTTTTTATATATTTATGCACTGATGTTCAAACCTTTGAGGTCAGCAACCTTTTTTTTATTCAGCAAGGATGCATTAAAATGGTCAAAAGTGACAGTAAAGATTTTTACATGTAAAAAAATTATGTTTCAAATAAAGGCTTTTATTTTGAACATTCTATTTAATATAATATTTTACAATATTATATATTTTTTTACTGTATTTTTTATTTAATAAATGCAGCCTTAGTGAGTGTAAGAGACATTTAAAAAACTACCGACCACAAACTTTTGAGCAGTAGTTTATATTAAAAAATGTGTTTTAAGAGGGCTTTTCACTGTATACAATGTGAGCTTTTACAGGAATTTGACATCAATAGTGTATATGTACTCTAAATGCACATAGAATCAATAGTAATGTTGTGAATACTATACCACATTTAGCACTGTGTTCATCTCAACCACAGCTTACTGTGACAGTAAAGATGTTCATAATTTTACAAAAAATGTGTATTTCAAATAAATTATGTTCTTTCGAAATGTTTGTCAACTTTTCTACACTGATAAAAAAATAAATGTTTCTTGAGCAGCAAATCAGCATATTAGAATGGTTTCTGGGGTGTTACAAGACTGAAGTGATGGCTATGGTTATTTAAATTGTAATAATATTTCTCAATATTACCGTTTGATCAAATAAATGCAGCCTTGGTGAGAGCCTTTATTATTATTATTATTATTATTATTAAAACCTCTTTTCAAAAACATAAAAAAAATTCTACCCATCCCTATATTTTGAAAAAAAAAAAAAACCTTTTTTTTTTTAGAATATTTGTTGC